CCTCCACCGGCAGCAGCCCCCGCTTCACCTGGGGAGCCAACGCAGCGTGGGTGAGCACTGCAGGCAGGGGAGCGGCGCTCGCTTGGGCACCGGTTTTACTGAGGAATGGGGTCCGTGCTGACACGGAGCGTGGGGGGCGGCGGCAGCAGCAGCAGCTTGGCTCAGCCGCGGGATGGGCAGGGAACCAGGGGGCTGGTGCGGGATGGGCAGGGACCCAGGGTGCTGGTGCCGTGCCCGGTGTACCCCAACCACCCTGGGCTTCCAGGAGCCGTTTCGTACGAGCCTCTCCCCTGGGGGGTCCCAGCCTGGCCAGGGCTCAGGGCACGGAAAGGCACCGGGTTGTCTCCCCTTTGCAACCTGCCTCATTGTACCAGCCAACGATAAGATCGAGGTTGTCCACAAACTTTTGAAAAGTCTCATTTTGAGCAAAGAGGCTCTCAGCACTGCCCGGGATATCCTGCTGCTGCTGGAAGTTCAAGTACTTCACCTCCCGCAGGACGGCGGTGAGCTGCAAGACACGACGGCCGGAGACGAGGCTTGTTAATAAAACCCAAAACATCTCACCACAGCCTCTGAGAAAGTCAGATTTACACTCAGGTGGGTGATCGCTGGCGTTCCCCTGCCCCAGGCTGGCTGACCCCACCAGCACCCACCTCTTTGCTGAAGTTCACACTGAGGAGGGACGAGCCGGGGTCCCTCAGGATCAAGGGCTGCTCCAGGCTGAACTGGCAGTCCCGGCCGGCGCCGCACACCCACTCCTCGTAGACCATCTTGCGGTAACCTCGCAGCAGTCCCATCATTTCTTCGTACTTCCCAGACACCAGTTTAGCTTCAGCACTGACCATCACTCTGTCAGGGTCATGGTAAAGAAGCAGCAGCTGCCGTAAGCCACCAGAGGATCCCTGCTGGGCCCGATCCTGCCCCCCATGGGGCGACCCACACGTACGGGTGGCTGATGGCAAACAGGTCCCTGTGCGGCCGCTCCAGCCGCTCCTGCAGCTCCAGAGCCCACTTCAGCTGCCCGGCCACCGGTGGCATGTTTTTGTTGATGGCCGGGCCCCCTCCGTGTGCCGGTGGGGAAGCCATCTGGGCATCGTACAGCACCCTCACGTTCTCCAGCTCGGCACTGAACATTCCCAGCAGGGCTGAGTAATGAGGGGAAACCTCAGCCTTTATCAAAGGTCGCTCCAGCAGGGAGGCAAACATGTGCACCAGCTGCAGGAGAGAGAGGCATTAGCGTCTGTGCTCCAGGGCATCCGGAACGGCCCGGTGACACCTCCATGGTCGCTCCAGCATGCCTGCTGCCAGCCTCCGGCACTCAGGTGAGGACACCCCGTGCCTGAGGGCAGGACCCGTTGAGCTGAGGGTCCTGCCCTGTGTGTACCTTCACAGCAGATGCCAGGCAGTTGCAGTCGTCAAAGCCTTGGCAGAAGATGGTGGCCAGCCGCCTATCCACGTCCTGAATCTTCTCCTGGAACGCTGCAAAGTCTGTGTTCAATTGCTGCCAGTAAGAAGAAAAGAATTTAAGCTGGCGCAGCCTCTGCGTTTCCTTTCCAAATCCTTCCAGAAGGATTCAGCGAATCCAGATGCCCCAGAGCCCCATAGCGAGCACGCGTGCTGCCATGGGACAGTTTTACACGCAGCTCTTCTAGCATGTTCTGGCAAGCGATCTTTGTCATTAGCAAATGCTTACACTTCCATACCAGCATTGACTCACCTCTTCTGCGGGATCTAAGGGATCATATTTGCAATCAGCAAAACCCTTGATGAGTTCAGAGACCTCCTCGTAGATCTGAAACACCTGGCTCCCGAGGATGTTTCCTCTCATTCCTCCCAGCTCTGCCTTCTCCAGCTTCAGAAACTCGATAGCTGTCTGGTACAGCTCCTGGCGAGCACAGACCATCATCTCACCCGGCTCCTCTTGGTGGCAAACCCCGGCTCCCCGTGCCCCGGTGCTGCAGGTGCAGGGGCTGCAGCACCAGCGCGGGGCTGCATCCTGTGAGATCTCTGCTCCCAAGGAGCATCCTGCCTAGGGACACCTCGCAGCCTGGCTGGGGGTGCCCAGCTGGGGCGTGGGGGCACGGCTGTTGTGCTGGGAAGGATGCCACTGTGCTCCCAGCAACGCACCACTGCTGGGCTCCCACCTCCCCTCTGCTCCTCTCCTGCTCTGGCAGCCCCAGCCCACCCTGGGGCGGGAGCAGAGTCTGTCCCTGTGCTGCTCTCAGGGGACCACCCCAGCGTCCCCAGGGCAGGGGGAGCCCACATGGGCCCGGCACTGTGCCCCGAAATGCTCTGCTGTCACCTTGATGGTCTTGAGCCTGTGCAAGAAGGAGTCCATTCTCCTGAAGATGAGGGATGGGGGGAACTCCCAGACCTGTGGCTCCTCCTGGAAGTGGAGAGGAGCCATCAGCAAGCCGAGCTGGTGTGGACGGGGCCAGGTGGACCCCGCACCGTCCGCTGCACCCACCGAGAACAATACAGGCATCAGGTCGGAGCAGTAAGTGCTGTAGGACTGGAACAGCTTCTCTATGGTGGAAATGCTCAGTCTTATTCCCCCCAAGGTCTCTTCGGTTTCTCCTTGCAGCCCCTTCATCACATCCTCGGGGCTCAGGAAGTTGCGGGTCTAGGACAGGCAGATGCAGGCAGGGGCTGTTGGCAGAGGGGAGCCCACTGCTGCCCCACACCCCCTCCAGCCCTACATGGGGACTTTGCTGGGCCCTTGATTGGGGTGTCTCTATGCCACCCCAGCTGGGCTCCCCACGCCTGCCCTGTGTCACCCTCCCGCTAACGGTCCCACAGCGGTGCAGCACCGCCAGCCCCGGGGCTCTACCATCTCGATGAGGAGGTTGCAGATCTCCTGCAGGACGATGATGATGCGGGCGGGCGAGCTGTAGTGCTGGCAGTGAGTCCGAAGGAGGCGGACGGTGCACAGCACCCTGTCCACACAGGGCTGCAGCTGCGGGAGCAGAGCCCCGTTCGTTAGTGCGGGCCATGGCCATGCTAACGAGGGTCAGGCAGAGCCGGGGTGGATCTGCACCCACACGCAGTCTCTGGGGCTCAGTGCTGCCGCCTTTACCCAGATGAGGAAGCCAGGTGGTGCCTGATTATTCTGCCAGATATAATTTACCTGGGAGTAATCCATTTGCTCCATCTCTTCCAGCAGGATCCGAAGCGGTTGCAGGTGGAGGCTGACGTCCTTGGCTTCCTCCAGGCCTGGGCCAGGGGACAAACTGCATCAGGGACGGACCGGAGGGGCGAGAGGCAGGTGCCCCCCACATTGCACAAGGGGTTACCGGC